GTTAAATATAAGTTTACGGTTATGTATCCTCAGAATGGCAGTAGATAGCGGTAGTGTTTGTAAACAGAAACTGTGATGTCATAATTATGTATATGTAGTAGTTCATCTTTGCTGTTCATGAATAAATGTTGTGTAGAATAACGCTTTGTTTATTACTTTAAATTCTATCTAGTCGGATTTATTGTTAGACTTATATATATATTTTTACTTGGCAACAATTTCACAGCTGATGGTATAATATGCCATAATAGTACCATAATAGTTTTATTCATAAAATTTATAAAATTGAATATAGAGTCAAATTTTTTATTTTTAACCATATTAAAATTAAACAACAAAAAAGATTTTTTTCTCCTTATGTTAAACGTCTGATCCTTAAGAGTCCTTAAATTTTTTTTAAATCGATTTTTGGTCTTTAAAAGTCCTTAATTTTGGCCAAAATCAGTAGAAGGTCCTTAATTTGAATCATCTTAAATTTCTCTGTTTTTACAACTGCCATTTTGAATGCGAATTAGCATTTTGGAGGAATATTTTTGGCAATTCACTGACATATATGGTTATCTTTGAAAGGGTTCATGTGTATAATTTGTTTCTGTCTAATATAAATGATGGGATACTCGAGTTTCTAAGCAAGAGTGAAAACATAAGCATTTTGAAAATTTATTGTTTCTAATAAAGAGTCTTAACAATTTTCACTTTTGGATGTGAATTTTTTATTAAATGGTTCTAAATTTGGCGATTTGTCAACATTTTGACATTTTAAAATCAGTTTCTATAGAAATTTTTAATTCGAAATCTGAATTTTTTGATGTTTTTTTAAAACATCATAGTATTGATTAATCATTAAAATAATGGTAATATATTGAAATTATATTTAAAAAATAACATTAAAAAATAGTTTTATTTTTCGCTGTCATATTATAAAGTTTCATTTTGGCAACATATTATAGTACAATATTTTGAATCTAAAATATAAGCAAGGTATGCTATAAGGCATAATTTATGAAACAGCTCTTAGTAAAAGCCACATTAGCTATGTAATTAATTAAAAATGTCTTTTCAATTTTTATAGTAGTGGTTTTTCCCAATGAATTGTCTTAGATTATTCAAATTCTCAGAATATGCATCAGTTTTTTTATATAAAATTAATTTATACTTTTTCCTCCTTTTTTTAAATATATCTGGCTTTGCTGACTAAGGTTAGGATAATTTTTCTCTAGTATTTTTGACGTTGCAGTATGGAAAGTTTAGAAGGATTTGAAGGCAAGATTTATAGACCCACAATTCTAGAAGATTCAAGAAATATGTGACAAAATGAGAAATGTCTCCATGGTATGAACACTTAATGGATGTATTTTACAGAAAGTTTGCGATGAATTTCGTACTTGTTGAAGAATGTCTGGAAGCACAATGGAAACATAATATTTGAATGTTTTACTTCTGATACTAGAATCTTTTTCTTAACATGTTTATCTTCATTTTATTTTCTCTACTTTTCACTGGACTCAAGCATGGAAAATATCAAAAATGCTTCTGATCTTATCACTTGGGCAGGCATTATAGAAAGAGATCTTTTTATTAATAAAGAAATTGAAAACTTACAATTTAAAAGATTTGTCTAATATGTCTAAAAGCATCGTACACAGAGCTGATGCTAGGCATTTTCCCAGCTGATGCAATCTCTGTGGATTCTAAATTCTGTTTCTAATGCCTGCTCTAAAGTCTAAAAGTTTTGCCATTTCTAGGTTTTGTTGTTCTGTGTGTTACTAAATTCTAAAAATTGCCACACAGCTCTGTAATGTTTTACCATACATATTTCATATTTCTTCTGAATGTTCATTACTAAAGAAATAAAATTAGCCACTTTTTATACATTCTAAATGCATTTAGTGTTTTTTAGAATACAGAAATCTTGATTAAATCCAAAAATTTTAACATTAAAGGAGCACATTGAGAAAGAAACAGATACATAAAGAAAAAATTTATTCAAAAATATGTGCAGTTATATTATGTAAATTACCAATTGTTAGATTTTAGCTTTATATAAATTCCATTTTATTCCCACAGGTGTAGAGTTACTGAGCCAGATTAAATTATATAATCTTTGACCACTAGTCCACATTTTTAGTTGAATTTGACTGTTTCTGTTTAATTATATCACCGTGAGCTGTAATTGACTTTGTTATAGCAGCATGGAAGACTTTGTTAAATTGTAGTAATTAACTTTGTTATAATTGACTTTGTTACCATCAGAATATGCCTTTATGTTCCAGTCTTTTAAATAAGAGGCTTACTTAATCTTGTCTGTATTGTAGTTACTTTCAGACACAGTGATAATTTGCTTCACATCTATCGGGGGGGGGATTTTTAACTTTTACCAGATCAAGTAAACCCTTATAGGTACATTGGGGAGAGGTGGAAGTAGGAGATAAAGCAACAAAAAACTAGCAAGAACATTGGTTTGCATATTGAGACAAATTTCTAATTATTGTTAAAAGATGCTTAAAAGAGGAAGGAATTGGATAAAATAGCAAAATGTTGCGAAAGCCTTAGAGACATCAAGATTTTTGAAAGCGGAAAGATAAAAATTACAATGCCTCGCCAGGATCGAAATGTGGAGCTCTGGAATACGGCCAGATGCCAACCACTAACACGAGGCTCGCTGAGAAGGTAGGAGAAATACCTTATGTACTCCTTCTTTTAAAGGGTGACTGGGGATTTTAGGGGATCCAATTGCCAAATCCTGGGTGTGGAGAACCATCATCCAACACCCTTTTAGTTCGGGCGTGAATGTAGAGACATTAGGTATTTCTGAAAGCAGGAAAGATGAAAAATTAACAACGCCTTTGCCCAGAATCAAACTGCCAACCTCTGGAATATCGCTCAATGTGCAAACCACTACACCACAAAGGCTCGCCAAGAAAGTGGCAGAAATACCTTATAGGCTTCAAATTAAAATGACGGATAAATATTTTGTTGAGGATTGTTGTTACAAAACATAAGTGTTAATATATGTTTTGTAGCTTTTAATGGAACAAATATTGTTAAAAAATTAAATTTAATAGTGGTCATGTAAATCCGTACTGACTAAGATTATCTAATTACCTAATTTAGTTATTTATAATTAACTACTTACCCTTAAAAATTATTTCTACATATTAAAGCGAGTTATTGCCTTTCATTAATACTCACTGTGGTCACAAGATAAAACACAAAAATGTAAAAATTCAAGTAAAACTTATTCTTTGCATCTACTGAGACTTCGAATAATATATACAAAAAAACTATACCTCTTTGCTTAATACTTTTTTTAACCTAAAGTATATAATGGTCTTAGAACCCTTGGAAACTCTATACAAAAGCTATGACATAAAATGCCTAACTTAAAGAGGCCTGACTAACTTTCAAACGCTTGCCAACCATTGCCTAAAAAGGGCCTTTAAGGGTTTGTTCCAGCCAGAAGGTCTCTCTCTAGACAAGCAGCGAGGACAACATCAGTCTTTTGTTAGATATATCTATTATGATCTTAATTCTGCTGTTTGGAACCTTTGCATTTAAAATTACGAACCTTTCATTTTAACCTATGCATTTGACATAAAATAAAAGAATCTGTGGACCTTTCGTTCTTCTCCTTACACTTCTTTGAATAATCTCAGTATTATTTACTAAACCTTAGATGGGACAGGTATGTGACAAAATGAGACATTAAAAAAAAAAAACGCTAATATTAGTAAAAATGGCTAAGTCACTTATCTTCTTTCAAATATGCCAACTATTATAAGTGTAAAATATTTAATGACTCCTTTATAATTGCATTGAAGTTTATTTTATTCTCAAACTTATTCATAATTATGTTAGTTAATTCATGTTTAGTAATAATGCATACTACTTAGGGATCTATTTTAGTTTTAGGATGGTATTACAGAAGTGAAATTCAGGCATAGACTAATATTTTTAATTGAATTTATTCAGTTCCCATTTGCTCATCGTCCTTAATTTTTTTCATGAATGGCCCTTAAAAGTACTTAATTTCCGTGTGCAGAAATGTATACGAACCCTGGTTAAAGCAAAATGATAATATATTTCTGTTCATCTAAAATTAAACAAAGATGTTATTTTTTTTAATATAAGATAATAAAATAACAATCTAGTGAATTTTGTTTTATATTTTCTGTATTAGCTTTACTGTTATAAGTGAATAAAAAACTAGAAAGAAGTATGATCTTTTCTAGTTGACAACTGTGAAGAGTGTAATAGAGAAAGCTTACAGCTGCAAACATTTTGAAAATAACTGCACATGATAAACCATACAAGTTGCAGTAATTGATTGTGCAGTAAAAGTACTACTTAAATACACACACACGCAATACATATATATACGAGGGTCAGTCAAAAAGTTAGTTGCAGTCTAAGAAAACAAAACAGGAGCAAAATTTTGCAATAAGTTTATTTATATCTTAAAGTTCCATTAAAAATCTACTTTTCAACATAATTACCTCCATTATTTAATAAACATTATGTATATGATATGTTACTGTTATTACAAGTTAATTTCCCCCCCCCCCCCATGAAGTTTTATTGCCGCTACCTGGTTGGATGTTATGCCAATGTTTATGTTGGGTCTAAGTGGCACCTTCTTTATGGAAAAGCAACCAAGTTTATTCTGTTAGGCACATATAATTTTATTAACCTAAAACAGTAAAAATAAGAGAAACCTCTTGTGGGGACCACCTTCAAAACTGGATTGTATTTTTAAGAACATAAATAATCATGCATTCTTATAATGATGGATAGTCATGTTCTGTAAAAGATCATCTCCATCAACATCATCTGCCAGTGTAGGTGATCATCTTAGAAAGTTTTTAGTGTAATACTGAATTATTAATTCAAGCAGATCATTGTAGTTGTATATTATTGAGATCTGTCTGAACAAATCTGTTGTATTTTATCATTATATTATTAGCTTCATATCTTTAACTAGTATATTTATTACATTTCAGGGTTCACACAGATTCTGTTACAGTAGTTGACTGTGGGGATGAAGTGGCATCATGGTTTCAGGTATATCTGGAAAAGCCTGGTGTTCGTTTGGTCCGTTATTTCCCTTCGCTACCAGCAAGAAAATACTTGAGGAAAGATCCTTTTTATTCTAAGCTAAAGAAAGAACATCCAGTAAGAATTTTCGTTTTATCTTTAGCTACAATGTATAGTTTCAAGTGCTGATAAAAATGATTTTTGTTGTTTAAAATTAATACCGTGTTCCTTACTTTGCCCAGAATTTAAAAACAAAAATTACTTTTTTAAAAATTAATGCAGTTAAATTCTGATTAACAGAATCAGCTGTTCTTCCTTGACCTTATAAATCTGCATTTGCTGTTTGTTTATTTATTTGTAATTTTTAGGTGGATTTAGTAGTACGTTACAAAGTACAAAATCCAGACATCTGATATGCAGAAGGATTTAAAATATGGACTTCTGGATCACTAGTAGCTTTTTTTAGAAACATTCTTTTATTCTTTACATTTGTACAATTGTTATTTTTTCATAATAAATATGCAGAGAGTGTTAATTCTTAATTTCACTTTGAGACTTAAGCCCACCTGGAAAAATCATTATTTTTTTACATTCATCACCGCATTAGTATGAACATGCTGCAGCAGCAATGGCTTTCACTTCCAATGGAACTGATAGACTGCATAATTGATGGCATTGTACATCGCTGTGTGTGCTGTATTGCTTCTAGAAGAGATCATACTGCATATACTAAGCTGACACATATGATTTGTTCATTTTTATACGTATACCACACTGGCACATACGATTTTTTCATTTTATACCGATGCTAAGTTCTATAACAGCATAATTGTCTGGTAATTTATTTTCATGTTATTTTATTCCTTACCATGTGTTATATACTGTGGGTCATTTTCATTAAATTCTACATGTAACTGTTTGAGTAATCATCATTTTTGTGATTTTTCCTTATGATAACCAGTATATAAATTCCAAGTGGCTTATCCGCTCAACCAATTGAAACAAAGTGTCAGATATTGTTATTTGGAGGTAAGCGCTCAAGATTGTGATGATTTAATATGGTTACAGTGAAAACATTTTGAAATTTTTGAATGGCAGCACTTTTTTTTTCTGTGCGAATTGATCAGCTCATTGTAAAACCATAAATGGTGTTGGAATGATACGCATGTGACAAAAGTTGCCGGCGTTAAAAACCTTTGCAAAGAAGATCATTATAAAGAATCAATGACAGCACAAGAGATGAGAAAAGGGGGGAATATTGGAATTACAAGTTTTCAGTATGCCTACCTTCACATATGACAATGCATTGCATGTGAGAGATTGTTGACAACAGTTACAGACAAAACATTGCAGGTGGTATCTGTATAACATCAAAGATCATGTTTTATGGCATCTTTCAGTTCTAACAAATCTCATGGATTTCATGTGTGTACCTTAGATTTCAGATAACCCAGGAACCAGAAATCCATTAATATAAGGTTGGAAGTTGGCGGTGGCCATGAAACTACAAAGTTACAGGAGATTATACTAAATCCAAATTGCTGTTGCAGCACTTGCTGAACACATGTTGCAACATGTGAAGGAACATTATCTTGCATCCATACAATGTCATTAATGTCATTTATGTTATTAATGCCATCCATACAGTGTCATTCATTTTGCTGCTGCAGTTCTGGAATTACATAATCCGTAACATTGCTGTATACCAAACACTTGTAATGGAGCATGTTTTCATATCTGTTGAAGTGATCTTTTGGAAGATGTGCTTCCAATGTCGTGCCACACAGTAATATAGCTACATGTAAAGCCATTAGTGCTACATCGTGAGAATTTTCATCAGCCCAGTAAATGCAGTTTTTCCCAGTTATGGAGAAATGCGCCACATCTGTCTATAATATACACAGTGTTCACCCGCTATCTTCATCAGATCTGATGAGGAAAAAATTTGTAAAGTCGACATGCTAATATATGAACATGCTGGAATCGATGGAGAAATATCCACAGAGCAAAGTGTGGAAGCTTGGGGAGAACTGTGGGAAACACTTTTTGTAGTATGCAATGGACCTGCAGTAATTGCATTATACAATTTTACAACAACTTCAGTAGAACACATGCTCATCCGTATCACCATCTATCACATATGCATCCAGTTTCTTCAAATTTGTTTGCCAAATTACATACAGTTTTTATAGCTTATGATTTTGATGTCTTAGCTTATGATTTTGAGAATAAATTCGCACTGCTTCAGTAGCATATTTTCCCTGTTCAGATAAAACTACTTTATCATTTCACCTTGTTATTCCCTGTAAGTGTCATCTCTTTAGCATGTTTGTACATCTGATCAAAAGAACTCCTATGCTGCTTATTAAAGTTTTTTCATAATCAATGCTTTGCATATGGTGTTTTGTGTTTGATGCTTCTACTGTCTACCCCTGTGAATTGAGCAAAGTTTGTCAGTGCAAATGCTCTTATTCACAAATGTTTTGCATGGGAATTTTTGTCATACATGTATTATTCCAATGCCATTTATGGTTTTTCAGTGTGCTGATTAATTTGCACAGGGAAAAAGGTGGGTGTTGCCATGCAAAAATTTTGAAACTTTTTCTCTGTAACGATAACCATGAGAGCTCTATTGTTATGAATCATGACAATCTCGGATGCATACCTACAAATAACAATATCTGAAATTTCATTTTGATTGGCTGTGCAGGCAAGCCACTAGAAGTTCATATATCAGGGAAGTTTTTTTATGACCACCCTGCATATACATTAATCTAATTGTTGTTTTCTTTTATATAATTTTGATTATAACAATGAAAATTACTAATCAATACCATTCTTAGAGTTGCCAGCTTTACAAAGGAACAACAAGGTATAAGACATTTTCAGCAATCTTTTGAGTTATGTCTTTTTACTTTAATTTGCAAAATATATAAAGCGTGTGAAAATTTATTTCACTCTGAGCGCTCAAAACTGTAGATCTGACCTTGGACATTGGCAGGCGCATTGTTTCAAATATATGCAAGACTAATATTAATTATATAGATAAAAATGAGTACATAAGTACATATGAATAGTTATTACTTAAACAGATTATGCCAGGCTGGGCAGCTGTCAGATACACAATTCTGGTGTAAAAGATTTCTTAAAAAAGCATTTCCTCTCTTCCCAAATGAAAACAAAATTAGATATTTTAATTAGGTATCTACATGATTATGTAAAATACACTTTTGTGTCAACTATTACAAATTGGCAGGGTTATAAACCCATTTAGCCTTCTGTTAGGGTGGCCCAGATTATCGGTAAGTCTGTTATTCTTTGTTTGGTAACAACAAAGTAATTGTAAGTAAGTCATTGCTGAGCCATAATTAATGTTTCTTTTTTTAAAAATATACTAAATCATCATGGCCAATACCCAGTTTAGTTTAATAGACGTAGGTTATATGTTTTATTTTATACAAAAAAAAAAAAAAAAAAGTAATTTCTGTGTTTAATTTTAATGCAGTAAAAATAAAAGCAAGGCTAGGCATTTGGTTTTAAGCTTTGTATTAAAAAATTGCATGTTTTATGTTATGTACAGAAAATTTTTACAAGTAATTTTATGATTTTAAATAACTATTTGCATTAACAGTTCATCTCTGTCTTATTTTCAAGCACTCAGTTTGGTATATTTGGAATATTATACAAAACACTGGCAAGAATCTTATTTTTGTTATTTTGCATGACATTTCTGATTACCTTATACTTTACTGTAATGCTTTCTGACAATAGATTCAGTGTAACTGAGTGTAGATCAGGGCTTAAGTTGTAAACAGACATTTGACCTCATTAGATGGACTGATAAAAAATGGTATATTAAATCAATAATATAAATTTATGTCTAAGAATTTTCCTACTAATTCAGTCCACGGTTTGAATCCTGGTGGACTGGCTGTGTGGGCATTTTTGTGGTTTTCCCCATGTGTAATTTGTATACTAGCTAATTTTCCTTAGAAAATTCTCTACAAAGACATCATTCCTCTTAGGAAACTAGCCCTTTTGAGGGCTTTGCTGTAATCAAATAAACCAAAACAATCTGAACATCTGTAATGGATAAACATAACATTAGAATACACTTATAAGATCCCACTGTAGTTTTATGTTATGCCGATCCTTAGTCAGTTTAGTTTTTGTAAAACAAAATTTAAGTCAATTTCTGTTTTTCTCCTGTATTTAAAAATAATAATACAAAAAAATTGGGATATGATTTCTTCAGAAGAGCAAGCAGTGAAGTATTTTCAGTGTTATAGGACTACTCATATGGGTACTGTAACGTCTTAAGCTACTTATCGACCCTCATGAAGTTCTCAGAAAAGGAATGACCACCTCGAAAGTTCCCACAGACAGAGTATTTGTTAGCAAATTCTAGGACAAGAGGGAAGTGCCAGCAGTCACCAAACAGTCTCAGCTTTTTTGTTCCTCTTATAGTGTCGAACAGAAGACATTGTTCAGTTTCCTTGCATCAGTTTATAGGTTCAGTTCTCAGACAACCGGTGACCCCCAGTGGAATCGCAAATTTCCACGGACTTTTCCAGCTGTCTTCATCATATCCAGTTTTTAATCAAAGTGCTCTCACCAATCAAGAGGTGCTTCCAAAAATTACGGACAAATAAGAATCCTGGAAGTTTTTCCGACACGCCCAGGACAACTTGAACCAGTAAGTAGAGAGAGAAACCTTCTCTCGGGTTTATAGCTCGGCCTCGAGCAAATTTTTGTTTCGCTCTGCATAGAGCGATACTAATATCTTGGTCACGAGATTTACAACAAGGTAGCCGAGTTCGCCGCTACCTTACGAAGAGCACCCTACTCGGACACAGCTCAGTCCAGCAACCACCGGCTGCAAGGCTCAATTTATTCGAGACAGCCTCATCTTGAGCCTAACCTTGTCTTGAACCTTCCAAACCAGAACTTTCATCTGAACACAAACTTATTCACCCTACTGTGAGAACAATATTTATAAGTTTATTTATTATTATATATATATATTTTGCATATAGCCTAGAAAACCCAAATAAACCATTACGCTACCCTTGTCTTTGAATTCGTTACGCTATAGAGGCTATGTGTAAAAATGGTGGCACTAGTGGATCTTGAGGAAG